GGTGATGAGGTTATTTTCTGTTTTCTCTATATCCTTCTGGGTCTGTAAATAATTAAACACTTTATAACTTAAAAAAATTAACTCCAAAGATTATGTAGAAATATGTAATGTGTTTATAACATAATGATGCATTTTTTAGAGTAGAACATAAAATACTCTGTTATGTTTACTGCTACATAAATAGCCCAAAAAGGAAGTGTCCCTTTAAGACTCCGCAAATTAAAGAAACAGTGCAACTTCCAACAGACTAGTTCCAAATTAATCCTCAGCCTTCACTTCCTCTTCACCTGGTGGCCCTCCCAATCCTGTAACCCTACTCAGCCCCATCCCATGCTACCCATCTTCAAATGGGATTCCACGCTTCCCCTCCCCCATTCCCTGGTCCCTATTCTCCCACACCCCTGGCACCCCTCTGTACTCCCTTCTACTTTGAGGTCTGCATATCTGTATCTCCAGACATGCAGACCCATCCTGTCACTCATAGGCCCTAGATTTGTCTCCTCTCTTTTAGATCAACCCACTGGGAATAACCTTATCACAAATGACCTCCAACCCATTTTAAACTATTTTTAGGGGCAATCCAGGTAAGCGTTACATACTGCCCCTTTTGATCATAGCATCAAACAAGCCAGAAATGGATAAGGAATGGAAGGCAATGTCCAATAATAAAAATACACTATGAACTCGGATAATCTATAAATTATCTTTAACATTGCTAGAATGCAACTTCCAATAACAATTCAAAATACAACACTTGATATGGAAGAAAAAAAAAGTGGTAAGTCACTTATTCACCCAGGAAAAACTGAGCAAGGCTCTCTGATGACGAAACCAATTCTACCGGTTTCCTCCATAATCATTAACAGCTTCCATATATTGAACTGGGCATTGTGCCAGACATTCGGGATACATTATCTTACATAATTCTCCAATGACCTGTGAAACAACTATTATTATTCCCATTTTACAAGAACAAAATTGTTGACCTGAAGAGTTAAGTTACTTGTGCAAGTTTATTTTTTTTAATATTTATTTATTTATTTATTAGAAAGAGACAGAGAGCAGGGGGAGGAGCAGAGGGAGAGAATTTTCAAACAGACTCCCCACGGAGTGTGGAGCCCCATCCCAAGACCCCGAGATCATGAACCAAGCCAAAACCAAAGGTCCAACCCTCAACCTACTGACACACCCATGCGCCCCATTATTTGCACAAGTTTAAAGGCTAAGAAGTAGCAGAGCAGGATCCTCTGGTCTTTGCATTAGACCTGAAGGCCCCAAACAGGCCTTAGATAGACTTTCCAGAGAAAGTATATCTGTGAATTACTTTATACTTTATGATGTTAAACCCACGTGTTAGCTATTAGTAGTAGTATTTTATAATACAAATACCCAATTTACATGTAAATTTATAGTTTGAATGAAAAATACATGCCAAAAGAAGCACTGCAGAAATGACCACGTTGGATGTTATCCAACATTAGTAAACATACACAGTGATATTCAGTATCAACATAGCCCTTATACATTACAGTTAAAAACTGTGTTACAAAGACTTCTCAATACTACATATCAATGGTAATTATTTTTAACTGTTTACAAAACACTACCTATCACATACAAAGAAGCATAAAGCTTATTATCAGGCTAAAACAAAATACGAACTGGGAGAAATATTTATTGCGTTCCTTTCACTAATAAGAGACAATTTTATAACTTACTCCATTAGAGTGGAGTAACATTACAATTTTATAACATTACATCAGTTAGAGTGCGGAAATGTTATATATTATACCATGAAGACCAATGGCAACCACTTCAAAAGAGGGTGGGGGAAGGACCACATTGTATCTCTTATAATTCTAGTAACTCGTGTATTAAAAAAGAAAAAAAAGCCTTTCCCTCCATTCAAGCACAGAAAACGAGATGAAGAAAATAAGAAGGATGAAAATGCAGAAGTTATAACCACAAAGGTAAAGTGATCACAAAATACCATTTGGGGTATTTTCATTCTCTGAATAGGCACATCTATTCATAGCTGGTGTATTTTTTCTGTGCCTCCAATTGCTACCATCATGCACTTTCTTTTTCTGTGTGAAAATAATTAACTCTCCCATTTCTTCAAAGGAAACTATAATTATACTATAATCATTCATTCACTAGTACAATAAACTTTATTGAGCACCCAGAATGTACTAGACACTTTACCTAAGAGGAAAATAAATAAATAAAGTCAGTCCGTGCCCTCCCCAAGCTCTGTGGGTGAGACAGCCTGGTGTAAAGTAAACAGCCGAAAATAGTGTGCTAAATGCTGGAGCAGAGGTGAGTACACAGTATTAGGGGTGCACAGAGGGAGGATTAATCCAGCCTGGAGCAATCAGGAAGCTTTACAGAAGACAGGACGTTTAAACTCAGCCTTTAAAGATAAATAGGAGCTTTCCAAAGAGTGACGAAGGAGACACAGGGAGAGGAACCATCTGGCCAGAGTGTAAAAAGGCACTGAGGAGAAGAGCATGGAGACAATGATGTTATCAAAACAATGAGCTCCTTGATGAGACTATGCCCAGGGTTTGTGAAGTCCATGTCGGCTATGAAATTAAAAAACAAACAAACAACAAAACTGGGCTAAAAATCCAACAACTTAAGTAGATTAAGGTGCTTGAATACATGGAAGACTGTGAATACATTACATTTATTAAAAATATAGAGACCAATGAGAGAAATGTTCAGTATGAAATAAAAAGAATTTGCACATGTCTATGGATATAAAAAAGCCTGAAAGGATAGTGTTAACCAAAATGTTAATACTAATCACCTCTGGGTGATAGAATTATGAGTAATTTTGTTCTAATCTCTCTTTGCTTCTCTGCCTTCCAGGTTTTCTGCATTAAGCATGCTTTACTTTGGCAATTAGTGGGGGAAATGTGTGCTAAAATAGAACAATGTAAGCTGGGCTCAGATTGTGGCATGCTAAGGAGTTTGGACTTTATGCCACAGAAAAGGAAGATTTATTCCAGGCATTTGATCAAGGATGGGAGATGAACCGATTTGCATTTTAGGGAATTAAACGCTGTTAAGGTGTGCATACTGGATTAGAAGGGTTTGAGGCTGGAGGAAAGATGTGATGAATAAAACTAAAGCAGTGCCAGTAGGGATGGAAAACACATATTTGGGGAAGAACAGGTAGGACTTCTTAACTGAATACAGGGTTAAAAAAAAAAAAAAAGGTAGAGGTTTGAGGATAACTCCAGGTTTCCAGGCAATTGGTCAGATAGATATTGGAAGCTAAAAAGCACAATAAGAAGGAAAAGGCATATTTTAAGGACAGGCTGATGAATTTAGTTTTATGTGTGACATGCCAACAGGACATTCAGGTAGGAATTCTAGGAGGAAATCTGAAATGGACTCAGAAAAGAGGAAAAGAAGTCCTAGATATACGGACTCATAGGAGATGGTGAAGCCGTGGGATTGAATGAGTTTGCGCAGCGAAAGTCGGGTGAGAAGAGACAGCTGAGACATGCTAAGTCTATGGCCGCTGTCGGGGACGTCAGAAAGCCAGACCCAGAGGTTGGTGGAGTTCTCTCTGGGGATGGGGTGGTCAGGGCTGGGATCAGAGCAAGAGGAAGAGACTGCACCATCACGGCTACCAACAGTAACCAACCACAGAACCTGGTCACTAATGGGGCATAGGAAAGCAAAAGGCCAACAGGTGCCAAAGACATAGAATAAAGAGAGGCAGCTGGTCACCATCTGAGGTGGAAGGTGAGGTAGAGAGAGGCAAAGTAAGCACAGTAGCGATTACCAAGCGAGACGGTTCCACAGAGGACGGAACTTTTTTGAAAGCTGTCAAAGCTGACCTACTGCATGGCTGTCCCGAGGCAGCAACTTCTATACTCTTTTTTACAAACAAGGAAACTGATGTACACAGGGAAGGTCGTGGAGCCAGTTCCTGGCAGGTTTAAGACTAGAATCAATCTCCAAACCTCTAGGGCTTAATTCACTACATATTAACATACTGCCTCCTTATGCAAACACAAAAGAGAAGGCTCACCCCAAAAATATCAATTATGGAATACAGTAAAACATAAATTGACTTCACTTAATGGAAATAACATCTTACAGCATATAGCTCTCTCTCTCTGACCACCACATCTTGTCTTCCAGCTAACTTCTGCTACCCTTTGCTCTCACCGAGATTGCAATCCACTGATCCTTACCGCCTCTTTTTTCTCTGCCTTTACCTTGATTTCCTCTCCTCTCCTTACCAGTTTTAAATGCTATGGTCAGTCATTACAGTAATGCCTCCCTTGCATGCATTCACTACTCTCTTGTCCCTATTATTGTACTATACCCATTGGACAATGTGCAACTCCGGTTAAAACCTTCTCTTCACTTGCTCCATGTCGTCATTGTGTCAGTGAATACAACAACCTACTGACTGGTCTCACTTTATATTTGTGGCCAGAAGCTTGAAGTGGGCCCGGTAAGGCAGCCAGACAACCTTACTGCACTTCCCCAGTCTGTTCACTCTCCCTGCTTAACTATTCACACCTTCTCTCTCCTCCAACCACTACCACCCCTCCCCCACCCTCACTCTCAGTTGATTCCTCGCTTCCTCTTTGGAGAAAACTAAAGCTACAAAAGAGAACCTCAACTGACCCCCACCATCTTGGTTACCCACCTTCCAGAACCTGCACCCACATCTTCTGCCCTACATCCATGAAATGTCCTTTGTGTTGTGCAGTAGATTCCACACCTTATCTCTCCAACATCACTCATTGTTCTTTCTCTATTGAATCACTCTCAAGTGCACGCAAACATGCTGTTATCTCTTCCAATTAAAAAAAAACAAACAACTTCTTAACCCTACTATGCCCATTTCCTCTGCTCCCCTTTGCACACACACACAAAAAAAACCCTTGAAGAACTACCTATACTCACAGTTCCAAGTCCTCTCTCTAATTTTCTCTTACACACATTTGAGTACTTTTATCCTACCTTACCTGCTCTTGCCAAGGTTCTAGTCAAGGTCACCAAAGATCCCCAGTTGCCAAATTCAGTGGTCAGTTACCAGTCTTTATTTTACTTAACTTTTCAGCAGCATGGGACTCAGCTGATCCCTTCCCCTTGAAACTCTTCACTGGCTTCCAGGGTATCACATGCTCCTGGTTTTCCTCACACCTCCCTGACCCCCCCCCTTCTTGGTCTTCCATGGTGGTTTCTCTTCTCCCCAGCCTCTTAATGTCTGAGAGCCCCAGGGTTCAGTTCAGTCCTTGTTCCTCTTTTCTTCTCTACATAAATTCATTCCTTGGAGATTTCATCAGTCCTGGGCTTCAGATACCATCCAAATGCTGAAAAATCCCTAATTTATATCTCCAATCAGATATTTCCTCTGAATTCCAGGCTTACCCTTCATCTCCAATTACAGGTAACATTTCCAAAATATTATCCTTACCCCCCGCCCTCCCAAAGCCTCTCTACCTTGAAGCCTTCCACACTTCAGCTGTTGGCAACTCAAAGTCGGTCAAACCAGAAAGGACGGGATCATTTTTTGCTCCTCTCTCCCTCTCTCTCTCCCTCTCTCTCGTAGATGCCATATCCAATCCATCAGGAATCCCACTTAGCTCTAATTTCAGGTATCTGTAGAATCTGACCACCTCTTCCCACCTGTGTTACCGCTCTGGTTCCCCGGCACCATGCTCTCTCACCCAGGTTAGAGCAGTAACATACTAACTAGTCTCTCTGCTTGCACCCCCGCCTGAATAGAGCAGCCAAACTGATCCTTTTGAAAGTCAAGTCACATCACTCCTTTGTCAACACCCCCACAAAGGCTCCCCAGCCAAAGGACTGATGATGGCCTATAAGGCCCTACTTTACCTGAGCCCTGCACCCACAGTGACCTTGCCTCCAACCACTCTCCCAGCTGTTCACCCCCGCTTCAGCCACGCAGACCTCTGTGCTTTTTCTCTAGCATGCCAGACACGTACCACCTCAGAGCCTTGTATTGGCTGTTTCTTCTGCCTGGAACATCTTCCAGATGTCCACATGTCTAACTTCTTCACATACCTCAAAGGTTTTGCCTGCTTGTGACCTCCTCAATGAAGTCTCAGCTGACGTAAAAATTGCCACAATCTCTACCCCCCCACCTCAGAATCTGTCATTCTTTTTACCCTGTTGTGGTATTTTTTAAAAGCACCGATCACCTTGAAATAGACTACATTACTTATTTGTTTGTTTGTTTGTTCACATTATTGCCTGTCTTCACCCACTGAAACTTCAGCTCTAAAAAGGAAAGCATTTTTGTCTGTTTTGTTCACGGATGTATTCCTGGCACACAGGAGGTGCTCACTTAACACTTGTTGAATGGATGAATCTATTTCCCCTACCAGGCTGTAAGTAACTCGAAGCTAGACAAATGCTTCAATCATTTCTGTACCTTGATTATTATCCTGATAATATCATCTATATTATAAATTATATATTATATGTGTAATATATATATACACACACATTTCTTTTTTTGTATCAGGCTAATAGAATTTCTTCTGGGCAAGGTACTCCTCTTCCAGACTGCCAGGGATGGCAGCACTATACATTAACAGGAGGCTGATCATTGATGCATTTTCTCAGAGGTGAGTCCCCACTTACCTCTAAAAAGGTAAATGGCATAGATACACAGAGGTCATCCTTCAGGCCTCATACATAACCAGTCAGAAAATGGGAAAGTCACCTTGTCTTCACATATTATACGTTCTTCCCCATAGCCTTTTCCTAAACATGTCCCTCCAGATTTTCCCCAAGCTGTTGCTCATTCTTGGTAACAGCTAAATCAATTGACCATATTGTACTGGTTTGCTTCAATGTGTTTGTTTACTAGTTGAAGCCTGCATTAAGGGCAGGATTATTTCATGGTGCTCGGCTGCCTGGCTCTCTTCCAGCCCTCTCCTCTCCTAGTCTCTCTTTGTGCAAAATGGCAAGCTCTTTCCAACTCTGAAAGCACGAACATCCTGAAAGTTCTTTGACGATCATGTAATTCTCTGTGCTTGTGAGATGCTGTCTTCACTGAGCTCTGTGACCTGAAGTTAGGTAAGTGCCCATCACAAATAACTATGCCAACTGTATCTCCATCCCTTTTAGCTTCAGTTACTGTCTCAGCCAACACTCTTCCCTCTTTTTGTCCTATTATTCTGCAAATGATACATGACCAGTTATTTGACCGAGTCCGAAAAGATAATATGAACACGATTTTATCTAAAATGTCACTTTTCCAGGATTCCATTTGGTTTGTTCTTTATTAACTGAAGTTCCATTGTTATAAAAATTACAATAATAAACTACCCTGAGTCTTGTAATTGCACAGCTTCTCCATTCTCTAAGTAACCAAAAATCCCATCGTTCCTAATTAAAATATTCAAAGGTGAAATCCAAGTAATCTCCACATGGAATACTAGTGCTTCCACAGAGGTTTCTAGGGTTAAAAAAGAAACCCTTTGCCAATAGGGGAAAAAAAGAAGTTTCTGAGTCTATAGTACAAAGACTTCAAACTGCATTCCACAGTGTGTTATTTTCTTTCCAGAAAATTCTAACACTATATAATTACTTTTGTATGGAAAATGAATAATGTAAGCTTCTAAAAACAGACAGAAACCATCCAAATCAGATAGGCCTTTCCTGAAACCAAATGAAATATTAAATGAGAAAATATCTCTATAAGAACAAAGCTCTTGGATTATTATTAAATAGAGATGGAGCATAGTGGGGGAGAAAGTTCCATGGGGGAAAAAAAGTGTTTTCTCGTCTACGTGTCAGGGTTTGTCTGCTTCTGAGAAATTGTAACATTGCTCGGACCCCAAAATGTCATCGAAAAATACCAATCAAGAAACGCATCTAGGCTCTTGCAAGGTTTCCGGTTAAAAATAACAGCAAAAAATATCAATTAAGCTCCATCTATTGCGACAGAAATGCATTGATATAGGAAAAGCGAAATCCCACCTGCATGGGAATTAAGCCGCAACTCGTCCCCCAATTCGGAGAAAAACGAGCTTCGCTCCGCTCGCTGGCTGAACTAATTCCAGCAAAGATAGCCAGTAGGTTTGTGTGTTGGGGGAAGGGGACAGAATAGAGCGCGCCTCACCGCCCTCCCCCCAAAACTGCTCCAGAAACGTGAAAGCATCTGCGCCGCACGACCTCGCTTGGCCGGGAGAAAACCGGTGCGGAACGGAGAAGCCTCCTCGGGCTCAGAAGTAGCCGCGACGTGCGGCGGGCAGCGCGGGCGCCTGGCCCTGTCGCGCCTCCCCCTTCCACCCGCCCCACCCCCAGTCGTAGGCACGGGTCTCTGAGGACCTGAGCAGGTTCTCTCTCGGCCCAGGGTGGAGGACCTCGCAAAGACATTTTTAGCAGGAGTAATTCCCGCGCTGGCAACGTCTCGACAGCCCGAGTGAACAAGCCCAGGCGGCCTGCGCCGGGACCCACATCTGGCTCCGCCGGCCCCGGGCCGGCCCCACCTCCGAGCCCACCCAGCCTGCGTGCCCCGCGCCCCCGGCCCGCGGCCGGGCACCTAGCAGGGGCTTGGGGTGGGGTTGGGGGGTGGAGTGCAGCACCTAGGGCTGACTTTGCGCTAAGTAAACAGCCATGGCAGCCTTCCCCGGTCGTAGATAAGCCAGAGGTGAGCCGGCCGACGGCTGTCAGGAACGCTCACCGGGCACCCCCCCCCCCACCCCGCGGGCGGCCCGCCGGCGGCCGGCCCCCACCCCCCCCGGCCCCCCCCCCCCCCCGCCCTGCGCTACCGACCCCGAGGCTGCGCCTGTTAACAAACTCCTGGGCGCAAATGGCCCGGGCCCCCGTTTTGTCTCGCGGTTCAGCACCGAGGACAACGGACATAGTTTTCGCCCCAGCGGCCCCACCGCCAGCAGGGTAGCGTTAGCTGCACAGGCAGGGCTGCAGGTGTCCGGACGGCGCGCCCTCCCGCATCCCACCCGCTCCGGCGCCCAGGAGCAAGGCAGCCCCGCGGCGTCTTACTTTTCTGGCTGGAGTAACCCGGGTAATAGCCATAGTAGCCGGTGATCCGCAGGATCCGGTCCTCGATGGTAGCCACCCCGTTGGGGGCCGCCTTGACATCCATAGAGAGCGCGGGGCAGCGGCCCCGGGCGCGGCGGGGCGGAGAGCGCAGCGCGGGGCCCGGGAGCTGGTGCAGGTGCAGCCGCCGCCGGTGCTGATGCTGCAACTCGTGCTCCCGCGCCCGGGCTCTGACTCCACCGCCCGGCGCAGCACCGGCTCCGCATCACAGCGGCGGCGGCGGCGGCGGCGGTGGAGCGGCCCCCACTCTGGCCGGCCTCTCCGTTAGCCTGGCAGCTCTCCCGCCCGCCGCCCGGCGCACTGCTGCCCGAACAGCGCCCCCTCACCTCCGACGCCCACCGCGACCGGGGCGGGTGTGGGCGCCCCACCTGGCCTCAGACTCTCCTGGTTAACCCTTCTGCACCCCTTCCCAGAGGACTTGACATTCCCCCCCAGCCCCACCTGCCAGAAGGGATGCTCGGTCCAGGGGCGTGGGAGGAGACGAGAAGGTGAGATGGTGGCAGGGGCTCCGGGAGGAGGGGTGGAGATGGAAGAGACCCAAGCGGAACCAAGTGTTAATGTGAGAGGTGCACACTGTCGCTTGGGGAGATGACACATCGGGGGCGCCGCGGGGTCTTGGTCCACGCTTGGCGTCTACACCACCTGGGGCCAGCAGACATGCAAGCGTTCCTAGGAGTTAATCAGTTCCCGAAACTTGCCTAGACGACAGGGAGTCTTTTCTTAAAAAATGAAAAGAAAAAAAAAATGAGGCCTCAGCAGGTGGTATGTGAAGTGATTGTCCAGGTATTGTGGACACAAAGACTTTAAAAGATGAAGCCCTGGATTCTGACGGGCCCGTGTCCCGACCCTGAGCCCCCAGCGAAAACATCAAAGGTATGGGAGACTCAGCTGCGGCACAGCATGTTTGTTTTGCCAATTTCAAATGCCCTTAGGAGAAATGATTTTCTCCTTTACTGCCAAAAACATCAGGGGGGAAGCCCTTCAAACTGTAAATATCTGGACGGATGAAAAGTTTTAGCTACAGTCTA